GGGCTGGGATGGCTGGTGGGCTTGGTGGGCCAGGATGATGCCTGCATGCCCCTGGCCAGCAGCTCGACCTGAGTGCTCCAGCGAAAGACCTGCTTCTCTTGTTTCTGTTGTAGTGAACCCGTGGCTGTTTCCTTCTGGGACCAGGAAGGGCAAAAATATCCACACACACACAAAAAAAAAAGAACCCCAAAATATAAAAACTAAAAGCAAAGCATCAAAAAAAAAAAAAAAAGAAAAAAAAGAAAAAAACCCAAACAAACAAAAAAACCAAACAAAAAGAGAAACAAAGCCAAGCGGCAGCAGCCAAGTGAGTCCCAGCTGTCCTCACACACCGAGTGAGCGAGTCCCAGAGGAGCCGCGGCAAGCACCGGCGGTCGGATGCGCCGGAGGGACCCCCAGCGCCCCGGCCCCACAGCCCAGCAGGGAGGGAGCCGGCACAGGCAGGCGTGAGGGTCTGGGGGGGTCCAGGGGGCCCTCGCCCACCCAGCTGCAGGGCCTGGGCACCACGTCTTCCTTTCCCTGGTGCAGCAGCGCTGGGGGTGCCGGCAGAGCGCTGCGCCCTGCCCGGCTCGTGGGGCCGGCTGATGGGGTGGGGACCCGGCTCGGTGGCAGCCGAGCCCCGGCGCTGGAGGCCATCGGCGTGTCGAGTGTGCGAGGCCTCAGCTCCAGCGCGGAACTGGGGCGGCGGCGTGGCTGCGGTGCTGAGGTATTGCAGGGGACGACCCTCTGCCTTTTAAAGGGAACTTTTGTTAAGAGGAGCTTGCAACTCGCTTGTGACCCCTTCTCCTTCTTCCTCCCTCCTTCCCTGACACCCGCGCTCCCACCCTGCCTGGAGCAGCCCTGACCAAAGCTGGGCCAGGCGCTGCCCCAGTCCCACTCCTGCTCGCTCTGCGGCACGGGACGCGCTCGTGGCCACCCGTCCCTGCCTGAGGCAGCGGGATGCCCCCAGCCCTGGGTGCGGGGTCTCGGCCACTGCATCACCCACAAGGGACCCACCCAAGCCACAAGGCCGGCCTGCAGCTGCAGGCACGCTGGGCACGGTGCCCGGTGGCACGGGGCACTGCGGAGCCCATCCCGGGGTGCAGCGCCGTCCCGCGCCCTTATGGCTCTACCACTCCTCAAACCTCACTTTATAGTCTGCAGACGCCCCCGACGCCCCAGCGATGAGCTCCCCCTTTTCTATTCCCAGTGTACATAGCCCCGGCCCCCCTGTACAAAGCTCCGTCCATCGCTGTACTGGCTTCTCCCTTACAGCACCCCTGCGCCGCCCCGGCGTGCGGGCTGGCGCCGGCCCATCCTGTATGCTTAAAAGTGTGACCATTCTAATAAACAGTATTATTATTATTATTATTATTATTACAATTATTATTATTATTATTATTATTATTATTATTGAAATTATTAATAAAGATTTCTTTCTTCAACCAGGGCGACTCAGGTTTTGACTGGTTGCACTGCAGGGGGTGCGGGGCTGTGGCTGCTACAGTGGATCTGGCTGGGCAGGGGCCACAGCCTGTGGGCAAGTGGGGAGCCCGTGGGGCTCCCAGCCTTGCCATGGTGAGGGAGCAGGGTGCTGCATTAAGAGCCCTCTTCTGACTGGGCCAAGCCCTTCATTCTTCAAGCCATCAGGTAAAACGATCCTGAGTTCATTCCCTGCCTCAGGAGCAGCAGCTCCACTGCTGGCATTGGGGTCCCTGGCAGAGCCTGCATTCTTTGGGGACAGGGCTTGGAACCCCACTGCAGGAGCACTTGCCTGCTCCTGCCTGCTAATTGCTTGCTCACCAGACTGTGAGAAAATAATTGCTGCTATAAATTTTCTCTCTTCCTCACAAGATGCTCAGGGGAGGCAGCGCAAGCTGGTGGCACTGGGCTGGGTCCACGTTAATGAGCACAGCAGTCACCCATGCTGGGCTGCTCCTCGGGGCTGCTGCAGAGCCCGTGCTGACAGCTCCCCACCAGCTGAGCCCTGACGGGCCTGTGCGTCTTGGGGTCTATGGGCAAGTATCCCCAGCCTGTGGGCAGACAGCTCGAGGCAGTGAGGGCTGCAGGAGCTGGTGGGGTTCTCAGGGCAGGTGCCCCAGTCTGGGGTCACACACATTGGGGGTCCCTGCCAGCCACTTGCAGGGTTCTGGTCACCACCTAGTGAGTGCCCACAGTGAGGGCTGAGCACAACCACAGGGATGGGAGAGCAAAGGGACTTACCAGCCCAAGGGGATGAAATGCAGCCAGCCTCCCTCTGTGTCCCCTGCCCACAGCCCACAGCCCACAGCCCACCCACCACATGGAGGAGACAGCCCGGGCTGCACCACAGTTGCTTTAATGCCCATCTGAGCTGGTGCCGCTGCCTGGCGCGGAATAGACCAGCACGAGGCGGCCCCAGCGCTCGGGGTCCACAGGCAGCTCGTCCCGCAGTACCGGTTCCACCAGCAGCTCCAGCCGGCAGGACTGGCCGGGCGCTGGCCGCGGCACCGACAGCCCCACGGCACGGAACAGGCAGCCCTGTGCCAGCCCCAGCACCTGCGGCGCCGTCTGGCCCAGGCGGCACCGGGCGCCCTGGCTCAGGACACGGAACCATCTGGCACGGCCAGGCGGGAAGGACCAGCGCAGGGTGAGGCCGAGCGAGAGCTGCTCGGGCTCGGGGCCCTCCTGCCACCAGAGCTGCGAGGCCGTCACGCTGTGCACCTGCGGGGGGGAGGCCGCCACGCTGGCCGTGTCCAGCACCTGCAAGGGAACCATGGCACTGGCAGGGGCAGGGCAGGCAGCCACCCACCTTCCCACAGCAAGGGTGGCACCGGGGCAGGCGTCTCCACCAAGCAGTGGCAGGCACTCACCCGGACCTCCCCGAGGAGGCAGGTGAAGGATGTCTCCTGCGGGCTGGGCTGCTGGCGGGACACGATCACAGAGAGGTCTCGTAGGCTGCAGTCCTGCAGCTCCAGCTCATAGCACCTGAGAGGGAAGAGGCAGAGCAGGAATGGTACCAGAGAGCCCTGGCCTGTGGACACAGGACGCAGGCAGAGCACTCACCGGCTGGTCCAGCCATGGGAACCACGGAGGCAGGCGGCGAGCAGCTTGGCGAGGCTGGGCGGCGGTGCCGGCAGGAACCGGGGGTGGTGCCGGCCATTGGGCTCTGCCACAGGGAGCCAGGTCAGGGGGTGAGGGACTGAGCTGGTCCCATGCCCTACAGCAGGTGCTCACTGCAGACAGCATGGGGGGACAGGTCCTCACCAGGTAGGGAGGTGGGGTTTCCCTCGAAGCAGATCCCTGAGTCCCAGGTGGTGACCTCCAGTGCCACTGTGATGTCATCGGGCTGTGGCCCCTCCAGCTTGTAGAGTAGAGTCAGGAAGAGCTTGGGGGGGGCCGGCATCTGCAAAGAGAAGAGGCTGATGACCCCAAATCCACCCAAAGAGAGACAGAGACAGAGAGAGAGAGACAAAGAGAAGGTGCATTGTGTTAGGTGTGCTGGGCAGTGTGGGCAGAGCCTGGGCACACTCGCCACAAGGCCCCAAGGCCACACAGCTCGGGCCATGCAGGCCACGTCATGCTGACATGCTGCCAGCCCAGTGCTGAGGAGGGGTAAAGGGCTTTGCTCCAACTCA